AATTTGTTTTTATCTCCGCTGTGAAATCAGCACACTGTGAAGTTGACACCAGTTGCTTCACCTCTCATATCCAGAGATAATATCTTGTTAACAAACAAAAACCAAGAGCGCAGATCATTGTGCAGTCTTCTTGTCACACTATCCTTCCCGATGGCTAGATAAGGTGGACAGAGCCAGCTGAGTCATTCCAGTCCAGTAAACTGTGTATACATAAACTGGCCTGTTGTGACTTAAGACTATTTATGTCAGTGTTGACGTACACTTTATCAGACCAGACCTAGCCTGTTGTGCTTTAGAGAAGTGGTTCCCAACCTTTTCCCCTAACCCCTGACCGAGTAATATATACATATTTTATGAATTCTTCATATAATTGTCAATGTTTAAAAATAAAAGTAAAGAACAACTAATAAACTGTACAATGAATCCAAATAGTGAACGCAGTAACTGCAGGACGTTGGTGTAAAACGAGTGATTTGGATTCATTTTGAGCAGATTATTTCTGTGAATATTGATCAGAGATGAGTTTTCCTGATATTTTTAGTAACTTTTTATACAATTCTCTGTCTCAAAGTAAATTTAATTTAGTTTTCTTCACAGATATGAACGAAATGCTGAGCTATAGGCCTACTGTCTATATGTTTACCTGCAGGTTGGAACCACTGCTTTAAAATACTGCACTAAGTTTAGTTTAAGACCAAATTCCTGCAGAACTAATGACCTTCAAATAACCCTCAGCTGTAGGTTATGTTTTGTTAGCATGTTAACTCGCTAAACATCTGCATGTTTACATTGTCAGTGTGAACGGGTTGGCATGCAGATGTTAGCATTTAGCTGAAAGCCACCGCCTACAGCCTCCCAGAGATGTTAGCCCGGCTGTAGACTCTGTGTGTGTTTGTGTAGTCTTAACAGAGGTTCATACAAGACCAACAAACGCACACAAACACACACAAATACTCCGAGGATCAGGCCCAAGCACTTGTAACACAGAGCTGTTTGTGTTCGAACGTGGTCGACCATAACACGGGTTTGTTGTGTAATTGTGGTTGAGTGGCGTTTTCATAGAGTTTTCTATGAAGGAATACTTCGTAGCTCTCTGTCTCCAGCACCTCCAGCAGGCACAGAGGTAACACAAGTGTGCATGAGCTGCCAAACCTACTTGCTTTCAATGAGCCGCGCCCAGATACTCACACAAACACTCCAGTCCTGCAGGATATAGGAGCAGTAATTAGCAATCCCTGGCAAAGTCAGTTTTCTCATACTCGCTCATGTTCTAGCACGCTGGTGGCAGATACCTCAGCTGCTAACATACTTCCCATTCACCTGCGAGACACACACACACACACACACACACACACACACACTCTCTCAGTCATCCTTCTGTTGCTTCCTCCTGTGCTGCACAGTGTGGACAGAAAATTAGAGCTCAGCTGTCTGAAGGGGATTAGCTGCAGAGGTCCGAGAGGTGTGATGTTGTGCTGTTGAACGTCAGCGTTTGTCTAATCTTGAACGCCACCCCCACCAACAACAGACACACCTACAAATATATATTAAACCTCTTATTCAGCCGAGTGTTTGCATGTCACACGAGTAAGTGCACATACGTTCTGCCGTTGGCAGTCTCATAGTCGGGGCTTTTATTTAGACTCACTCCCACATTGTTCCCTGCAGATTTCACCAAGGCTGCTATTGTACACTACCTCCTAATTTACCACCAGCTTGCTCCCAGTGCACGGATCTACTGCTGTTATTTGGGGAGTCAACTAGTTATTTACAGTGAGAGAGAACGTTGTGAAACGCAGAGAGGAGGAAAAGTAACCAGGAACTTCTCACAGTCTCGTCAAAGTCAAGCCTTATTGTGGAGCACTGTCTCATACAGAAGCAATTCAAAGTGCTTTACAGGGTGATAGAACTGCTCAGGGAGAATCCACCTTAAATACTTAGTATGTTTTTTACCTTTATAAATGACGTATATTCACATAGACTTTACATGATCGGAGAGATTAATGGGGGTTCTGGTTTATTGCAGACGGAGGATCACTGCACACAGCCAGGACTGGAGTAGTGGCATGTTTTCCTCCCTGGTTGTTGTGTCTGCAACAGGAAGTTGTCCGACCTTGTAACTGGGTTTTGTCCAATGGGAGGACAGTATGGAGGAAGCCGATGTATAGAGAAGTCAGGTCACAGTGAACTGTTGACAGGGTTCATCAGCAGCTGAAGAAGTCCCCTCAGGTCGTGTTGGAGTGCTAATGAATTTAAATTGCATGTTTCTTCTGCTCCATCGAACAGATCCGGTTCTTCAAGAACAAATCAGTTCCCAAAAAGGAGGAATTTGACCATGGCCTCCTTCTATACATCCACTATTATAATGCTGTTGGTTGTAGATGGAGAATATCTTGGCAAACAAATGAGTGGTAACACTTCTATGTAGCATTTATAAACCGCCTATAAATATTGAATAAATAGTTTCTAACACTTTCTAATGTTGTAAGCACATATGTAGTAATTAATGCACGTGTCAGTAACTATAACTTTTCCTGTGAGCCTCAATAAGTTTAGACTGATGTATAAACAGATAATGAATAAGAGAAAAACTGTTGTAATAGTAGAAAAGGACAACTTATTGGGGGTAGAAATGGGGCGTAAAGCAGGGACTTTTTTTATTATTGGGTGCTGATGACTCTGATTGACAGTCTAGTCTCTATGAACTGCCACAAACATTAGTCTCCTGTATGATCTGTAGGTACAAGCATGGACACAAAGAATACATATCTAAAGAGGTGTAGCTTTCATTTTTTTTGGTGTTTAATTTAAAGGAATAGTTCGGCATTTTGGGAACGGGCTTATTCACTTACTGGATGAGAAGAATGATGGCACTCTGATATCTGTCCCCTTTTTATATCCATTTAAAACACTTTGCAAGGAGGAAACTGTTGTTGGTGCCCACACAATGAGTTGTGGTGAGTAACACTGACTGTAAACATCACTTTTGTTTGTTTATAAGAAAACTCCTCAAGGTGCAGTAAAGGTGGTGTCGCCTTCAGGCTCTCCTTCTGTCTTAGCAGTTTACAGTGCAGGGCTCCCATGGTCCTGGAGAATCTGGAAAACCTGGAAACACATGGAAATTGATCTAAATGACCAAATATTTAGTTTGACGGTTGGATAGGTAATGTGTGTGCTGTGACAATTCAAAGTGGGTTTACCAGACGCTTTTTCATTTCTGCTCCCATGTCAGTTAAGAGCTGTTCACACAGTTTGCAGCCTGTTGTTATGATCAAATTTACATTAATTGCTATGGTTGATATTGTTAATTGTGCGATGATCACTTATACTTTCTACCTCTTCTTTTAATCGGCGGATTTTCTGTAAAATAAAATCAATTCTGCTTGATTTGAACTGTTGTTTGTGCTCCGCTGAGGCTGCAGCAGGAACTGTGGTGAGGACAGTGCCACAGAAATGTGTGTCCCATAAACTCTGACCACCATTGAAGTGCTGAAAAACTCCTGGAAAAAGTCCTGGAAAAGTCCTGGAAAATGTTTCCTTAAAAAGAGTGGGAGAGAGACTTTCCACGGTTAAAAATGATTTGTGTCTGCGCGTTATTATCAGAGAGGATTCTGTTCAAATGTTTGCGCATCCTCTCTCTGATGAATGACATCCATTGTGGAAGGATGCTGCTGACACAGATTCCTGCCTCGGTAACGGAGCGGATGTGTGGGACAGGGCATCAGTGTTTGTGGGACACACACGGTCCAGTTGTGTGCTGAAGGAAAATTGGGCAGCGACGTGGAGAAAACAGCCCCGTGGGCAGAGAGCGGTGCAGACTCTGTAGGTTTCTGTGTCGACTGACGTGGAGCCGCAGTTTGCCAGTGGCTGAAACTGTACAGTGCTATTTCTTTTAACTGTCCATTATGAGTTGACAGTGTTATAGGAGTGCAATGATAAACCAATGCTGTACTTTTTTAAGCATGTATGTGTATTTTCACTGCATGAATTCAGTCATATTAGGTTTTTTTACGCATTGATTGACTCTGTTGAACACTGATTGATGACTCTTTGCTCTGCTTTCTTGATGGGAAGATAGATTCCTACAGATATTAGCATTTTTTATGTTTTTATTTATTCTATTTAGAGCTGTGTACAGTGGAGCAGTGAGTCTGGAAGGCCATGGGTTTGATGCCCAAAATAGAGGACACATATTCTTTTACCCGTCTATGTAAAATACATGTATTAATATTTTATTATACGTTCATTTCACATTTTGATTTGGTTATTTTAGTTATTTAATTTGTATTTTTGTATTATTATATTTTTTAATTAAAATGGGGACTTAAAGATCAGTTTGTTAGTGCTTGAAAACAGTCGTATATCCTCTGTAGCTCTGAAGGAGGAAAATAATCCTGTTCTGGAGCCTTCTATCATATCACATGATCTCCATCAGATGATGAGTATCATGGAATTATAGTTCAATATTCAAGTTATGTTAGGGAACTTTTTTTTTTCAAGCTTTATGCATTAGTTTCTGTTGTTTCACTGTTCTTATTTATTTTCTTATTTTGTCCTTTTTTGTTAGTCAGTTTGGATTAGAGCCTTTTGTAGTGCACATAAAACTAAAGGTAAAGGAAAAAGATGTGATGTCAGATTTTTGGGTGCTCTGTGTTGAGATAATCTGTGTCTGGATTAATACAAGTTCATATAATGGTTTCCACCTGAAAGCAGCTCTGTGTAATAAACAGTATTCTCTCTCTCTCTCCCTCTCCCTCTCTCTCTCTCTCTCTCTCTCTCTCTCTCTCTCTCTCTCTCTCTCTCTCCTCTCCCTCTCTCTCTCTCTCTCTCTCTCTCTCCCTCTCCCTCTCCCTCTCCTCTCCTCTCTTCTCTCTCTCTCTCTCTTCTCTCTCTCCCTCTCCCTCTCCCTCTCCCTCTCCCTCTCTCTCTCTCTCTCTCTCTCTCTCCCTCTCTCTCCCTCTCTCTCTCTCTCTCTCCCTCTCTCTCTCTCCCTCTCTCAGTCTTTTCTGTAGCCGCCATCATTCCGTGCTGCAAGGCCGACCCCAAAATGTCTTCCAATGGAGACCTCAGCGACCTGGGCAGCTCTGACAGCTTCTGGGAGGTACAGCAGGAACACACACACACACACACACACACACACACACACACACACACACACACACACACACACACACACACACACACACACTTATTTCTGACATTAAGAGAAAATTTAAAGTCTGTGGAAAGCAATAATAAAAATGATTTCTGGGTTTCTCACATCAAAGAAAAGCTGAATATTAACCACCCTGCCTGCCCTGGATGACAAAAAAAATCTGATATTAGGTTTCAAAACTAGGAAAAAATGAGCTACGCACTACAAGATGAATTATTAAATGCACTGTAATACTTATATTGCATTTATATAGCAGTTTTATGTAAAGCCTCTCATTCACACTTACACACCGATGGCAGCTAACCTGTGAGTCTGCTGGTCTGACCGTCTGGAGCAACTGGGGGTCGAGTTGCTCAAGGACACTGACAGAACCACCAACCCTGTGATTAGTGGACGACCCGCTCTACTTACTGAGCCACAGCCGCCTCGGCTACAAAATCAGATCACTTAACCAACAACACACAGCAGACGTTAAGATCTCTGTATTTGAATTATTGAATCAGATACAGTAAGTGAATAAACCCTGAATATATTTATTCTACTCTATCAGAGCAGCCGGGAGTTGAAGGAGTGAGATAAGGCAGTGTGTCAGTGTGTGGTGTTTAGACAGAGACACAGACACATAATGAGTCCCTGCTGACTGACTGCCAGCTTCACAGGCCTCCATCTGGAAAAACTACATACCTTTAACTCCTCTCACTTTCTATTCTGTCTGTCCTCTTTAGCTCTTTTAATGTTATCTCTGTTTCAGTCTTTTGTACATCGTCACTCATCCGCTAAACATTCTGCCGCGTCACTTTTGTACACTAATATCAACATGTTGCTAACATGCATTGAACTGACAGACCAGCTGGTGGAGTACAGTAGAAGAGGATTTCAGTGCCCTACACGAGTTCAGTGTTACGTCTGTTTCCTCAGTCTGTGTGTGTGTGTGTTGTGTCTCTCTGCAGCCGGGGAACTACAAAAGGACGGTGAAGCGGATAGACGACGGTCACCGGCTGTGTAACGAGGTGGTCAGCTGCTTCCAGGAGAGGGCGAAGATAGAAAAGAGCTACGCTCTGCAGCTGAGCGACTGGGCCAAGAAGTGGAGGGGTGTCGTGGAGAAAGGTGAGTTGAAAACACTGATCACATGAGGGGCAGGCTGCAGCAGGCAAATGACACCAAAAACTTTTATGATGATAAGATTAGTATACTTTGTAGTAGTTTACTTTGGTGTGTTTTGGGGATGTTTAGACTAACAAGGTTTGCAAGCCATTTAATATAACTACAAAGTTTCACATGTTGCTGCAACTTATTTATGAAATAATCCCTATTTTATCAGAAACATTTCTATGGAGCTCCATAAAAATGTTATAAGAAACATTTATACACATGTTGAACAATCACCTTTCAGTGCTCAACATTAATTGTTGCATTAAATATGCCAAAGCACTAACACCAAGTTACTGCTGACACTGACCCTGATGAAGACACGTTGCTCATTTTAAATGCATATTTATTCAAATTTTTATTGAGGCCATATTTTCCCCACAAAAGACTCACTGCCTTTCACAAGATGGAATAATGGCAAAACTCTTTGGCCAAAATGATGAACTTTGCTGTATAAATCACTCATTTGCCTCAGGTCCTCAGTACGGTACGCTGGAGAAAGCGTGGCATGCCTTTATGCAGGCGGCCGATCGGCTCAGCGAGCTGCATCTGGAGCTTCGGGAGCGGCTGGCGGGCGAGGACAGCGAGAAGATGCGCAACTGGCAGAAGGACGCCTTCCATAAGCAGATGATGGGAGGCTTCAGGGAGACCAAGGATGCAGACGACGGCTTCCGCAAAGCACAGAAACCCTGGGTCCGCAAACTGAAAGAGGTGAGGACTGACTGAGTGGTTTCAGTGAAGCTGGATTTATAGACGCTGCTGCAAGGGTTCAATATCGCTGCCTGTTGAAGAGTTACATCGGTTGTTTCAGCAACGCTTTGAGTATTTTAAAGCTGTTCAAACAGGGTGTGTAAACTATGACAGAAAAATACACATAATGATTTAACTGCTTTTACAGTTTTGAGGACATTTTAACGTATATTGAGTCGTCTAATACGCTGTCATATGTGTACAAAACACTTTAAAAAATAGTGTTATACCCGAATCCTGTTTCTAGAATAAATGTTATGAAGTGGGTCAATGTGAAAACGAGACTGTGTGTTAAGAAAGATAACAAACAAAGTGTGTTTTGTGTGTGTGTGTCAAGGTGGATTCCAGTAAGAAGACCTACCATCAGGCCAGGAAGGAGGAGTGGACGGCGGTTACCAGGGAAACACACGCGAAGGCCGACCCGACCAAGTCGCAGGAGGAAGTCCGCAAATACACCACCCGGGTGGAGCGCTGCAACCAGGAGGCCGAGAAAGTACAAAGCTTACACACACACACACACACAAACACACACACACACTCACAGTCCCATGCGTAGCTCCACTTGTACCAGTCTGGGTGTGTCAGTGAGTCCAGAAAAATGTGTGTGTGTGTGTGTGTGTGTGTGTGTGTGTGTGTGTGTGTGTGTGTGTGTGTGTTTTTGACTTTTAAAACATGACCGGGCTTGTCTCCTCTGTTCTCTGCTCTGCACAAACCCAACGGCACAGAAACCGCTCCAGGTCCTGAAGAGGGAAACGCTGAACCAAAAACAGGGAAATCCTGAGACAAACTCGGCACACAGAGCGCAAAGGAAATCAAATCCAGTATCATGACTCAGTGCTACAGTGCTGCACCGGACACACGCAACCAGTCTGTGCTCCAGTAAACAGTAGAGCAGTACTGATCGAGCCTTCTTTGTGGGGTTCTGAGGTGATCACAAAGAATTTCAGATGATGGGTAATTTGTGAATCACAACTGAACGCCCTTCAACCGTGACACTGTTGTATTTGCTCATTCAGAGATACGAAGTGTGGCACAGACAACCGTTGGCTATAGCTATGTGTAAACACTAAGGTTTTTTTTATTGAATTAGTTCTGAATATTGCAGGGAGGAATAGTATAATGCGAAGCAGCCACTCTGAGCAGACATCAGGCTCTTATTGCAGTTGGTTCAAACCACCACACCTCCAACACGTCATCAAGGTAAACAGCACTTAGCATGCAATCCTGTTGGAGGGAAAACCACACATTTGTGTCCATAACACAATCTGATTGCAGTCACTCGTGTGACGAAGGTGCCAATCATGGAAAAGACTATAATGACCTGTAGCCTTTTAAATACTTGACATCAGGTCCAGTGTGTAACATTTAAGAGGATCTATTGGCAGAAATGGATTATAATATTCATAGGTATGTTTTTCATTAGTGTATAATCACCTGAATATAGGAATCATTGTGTTTCTGTGACCTTAGAATGAGACGTTTTTATTCACAGATGCTGCAGGTTGCCGTCTACTGTCCACCATGTTTCTACAGTAGCTCAGAACAGACAAACCAAACACTGGCTCTAGTTTTTCAAGTTTCACAGCCACCGTTGTTTGTCCTTCGCACTTGGCAGGCGAGCAGTATTCAGTTGCTTCCACTTGTAACTTCACCGTTAGAAGCCACTAAGTCCTACCCACTGGTCCTTAATTCTGAAGTGCAGCACTGCTCAACGCCACAGTCACAGCCTCTCACCAGCAGCTGTAGCAGAGTGACTAACAGACCATCGATCTTTGGGTTTAATGTTTGAAAACTTCTTCCTAAATGCTGACATGAAGGAACATTTGCTTCTCTTAAATCTTTCTGCATATAAGTTGACAAAGGGTTGTACAGTAGCTCAGTGTGTGCTCAGTGTGTGCTCAGTGTGTGCTCAGTGTGTGTGTGTGTGTGTGTGTGTGCAGATGAAGGAGCGCTACACGAAGGCCCTGGAGGAGCTGAACCGCTGTAACCCTCGCTACATGGAGGACATGGAGCAGGTGTTCGACCTCACCCAGGAGGCCGAGCGTGAGAGGCTGCGCTTCTTTAAAGAAGTCCTGCTGGACATCCACACACACCTCGACCTGTCCGCCAAAGAAGGGTACGACACACACACACACACACACACACACACACACACACACACACACACACACACACACACGCGTACATCCTAAGAGCAAAGAGGGTGATTAGGTGATTCATGATCCATGACTCAGAACGAAGGCATGCAGGACTGTCTGGGTTTAAATATGTGTGAACATGTGTGTATGTACACAGGAGTTAATAGGAAACTCATGATGTTGTTCATTAACTATTGACCCCTCGTTCTATTTAAACAAGCCCCCGTTACCACGGCAACCACGATTGGTAAAGTCCAATTGGTAAATATGTTTGTCCAAATATTGAACAAAGATTCATCTTTAATTAACTCGAGCTGTGATGAGATTAGATGGGAATGTACTCGGAAAAACGACTTCGAGGAACTTTATTTGTATTTTATTGTTTATCTTTTGTTTCTTAAATTTCCTCTTTTGGAGTAAAATGGTTTATTCCACACTCACAGACTTTAGTTAATGGAGTCTCTTGCACATGAATGCTTGAAGAGTATGTTCACATTTTCTTCAAGTCTTTCTTAAAACAGTTCTCTTATGCCCATCTGTACATGTAAACAGTGTGTGGTCACTGTAATCATTCCTCGTGTCCACACCAGCTGTTTAATGTGATTTCATATCCCCGCTCTTCACTGCAGGTGGGCCTGCCTCTGCCTGGAGAAATGGAAAAATAGTTTTTTTTTTTTAAGAAGCACATTCAGCAAAGGATAAACGCTCCGTGTTATAAAACAGTGACATGTACTCGCATATTTAGTTCACTCAATAATGGGCCAGTGGTATTTTCACATTGTCACTTAACATCTGCTGCTAGACTTCATGGAGTAAGGATCATTATGGAATAAACAATGACCCTAAAAGAGCTGCAGATCTTTGTACTCGCTAGCCCACAGACTATAGAGTGAGACCACGACATAATTATGCACTTTGAGTATTCCTCTGCTAAATTATGCACATCAGAGCGGATTTAAAAGTGGGTACACCGAATGCCGACTGAGAAATAAGTGGGTGTACCGGTGTATATCCTGCACTGCACCACTAAATATGATGTTTTGACAAATTAAGTTCACGTCTGTCACAGTTTTGTTCGTTTAAGTACTAAAGTTTGTCTTGAGAATGAAGCAGAGTCTGCTTGTGTGTTTTTGAGTTCTTTTTCCCCTGTTAAGTTTGTGAGATTGTGTAATTTTAATAATTAGAAGCCCCAAGAGTTCAATGTAGCCTCTATTTCTCAAGAAAAGGCAGAGATTAAAGAATTTTTTTTTTTTTTTGTGTTAAATAGCTGCGGCCCAGGGTTCGAATCCGATCTGTGGCCCTTTGCTGCGTATCATTTCCTCTCTCTACCCCGCTTTCCTGTCTTTCTCCAGCTGTCACTGTCAAATAAAGGCAATAAAAGGCCAAAAAAATAACTAAAATAGCTTTCTAATTTAACATATTAAAGGTGGTATTACACGAGAGAAAATATACATATTTTAAAATGTAAATAAGGACATGTACCATAAATGTAAGAAACACCTCAAGTGTGAAGCAAAGGTGGAATATTAAGTTTTGAAAGTTGATTAATGACCCTGGAAAAGGGTTTGTCAAAAAAAGTCTTAACTACTTGCTTTTTCTGAAGCTTTCTATAGTATCTCATGGTCTTCCTCATTGAATAGAAGTTGTATTTTAAGAGTAGTCCTCTCCGTTCTGTTCTCTGTTGAAATGCAGTCAACAGGATTGAAGAGGAAGTGCAGTGTTCAAACAGCCCTGAGGCATGTAGCTGCAGTTCCTGGGAAGGTTTGATGTAGATGAATTGATGCAGGCTTTTGCCTCATATCACTTCTCAGTGTAAACAAACCCGCACAGAGCCGATAACGGCGACTACAAAATATGCACTTACAATAGTCTTATCTGGAATTCCACCTTTACGTGGAAGTTTCAGGATTTTAAAGGCCCAGCCCCCAGAATACACACTGGAATCAGGAACCTGGTCCAGTATATAATATACACTACACCAACACTGTAATTCTTCCATGTTCTCGGCTGTCTTACTCGGCTCTGCAGTTGTCAGCTCTGTGGAGCTTTCTAGCGTCTTTCAGCTCATTGTTTTGGTTTTGCGACAATTTTTCACTCCCAGTGCTCTCTTCAGACTTTCAGTAAAACGTTCTGATGAACTAGATATACGCTACCTGCTCAGCACCAAACAGCAGGTTCTCATGAGTAGCTGGAGGCCAAAAACAGAGTTAAAAGGTGAGAATTGTGCTTCATACATTCATCATCAAACATGGCTTCAGGGGATAATATGTCAATGTTGAGTTTACAGCTTCTCCTGCTGCCCCAAAGCGATCAAAGATTGTATTAATGCAGCTTTGAGTTAAAAGGTAACATCTGTGTTTTTCAACCTGGACCTCATTTTTTTGTGAATTTGGTCCAGCACTGAGTGAGAAAGCTGCAGCTGGCGGACACAAAATGGCCTACAACGAAATCCTTATTTCCATTAAAAGTGCTGACCGGCTCAGATTGTCATTATAAGTGTGTGACAACACAAACCTTCAGAGAAATGAAATGCTTTCTGTTCCTTTCACATGATCCAGCCTGTGTAGAGTCTCATTCTGAAATCTCGTCTGTGCGGTTACGGTAACGACACCCTAAATACCGAAATTACCCTTTAATAACACAGCAGTCACGTTGAGGAGATAAACCAAGGCTGACCTCTCTCATTTGTTCTCTACCTCTGAAACACCATCTGTGTTGCTTTAAACCACTTAGAGGCAGCCAAAAGTAGTGAACACAACACTGAAATATCATCTTCTTTTAAGTTGATATGGTGAACTTGACCGTCAGTTGCTTATGTACACACCCAGCAGTTACAGAGCAACATTATCATTTAGTTGAAGTTGTGTTTCTGTCCACCTGATGAATTCAAGCCCCATATTCTCTCTCTTTTAGGTCTGTTTCTGGTCTCTACCAACTCTTTATCTCTTGCTCTTTAGCTGCTAAATGCTCCTCTACGTTCACCAGCTGGTCTGTAACTGTGTCTGTCTGCTGTTCGCTGCTGAGCGGGGAGTGTACAGACGCTATGAGAGCGTTCAGAGTGAACCAAAACAGTAAAATTGCAGGGTGGACAGCTAAACAATGGGCTGAAGCTCATTGTAAAGCTGAGGGGGGGCTGTAGATTCGTCCCTATGAGCAACCCCTTCATTGGCATTTGACATCTAAACAATTATAGCTATTTTAAATATATGTAACAGATACACACACACACACAACACACTCCCGCCATCTTGGCTTTTTTTAACGTTTGCTGTGTGTATGATGTCCATAATTGCTGAGTATTTGTGTATTTATAATAATAATAATAATAATAATACCTTTTATTTATATAGCTCTTTTTAAAACAGCAGTTCGAAAAGACAGAATAGTCAACAATAAAAGCAATGCATCATGGTATTAATAGAGACATACAACTTAACAACACATAAGAGTACAGTTTAAAACAAAAGCAGATACTCATCAACAATAAAAGCAATGTAATAAGAAACTAGATTAAAACCAGTAAAAAAATTCTAGCTAGCAGACTTATATAAATGTTAATTTGTACATGTGGGTTTTTAAAAGTTTTTTTAAATGCCGTACAGACTGAGAGTGAGGGGGAGGCAGTCCCATAGTGCATGAGGTCAGTACAGTCAGTACATTAGCACCTGAGCCACGAGGAACGACATTTATTTGCTGTATATTCTGTATTTGGAAATGACAATAAACCAGCCTAAACCTGGAATAAAGTGCAGACACCTGCCTGTTACACTGTGACAGACTTAAAAAATTACTTAAACTATAAAGCATGAGGAGGAGGAGTGTAGATGTGTAGATGTGATAACTGATGCTTTGTCCAATAGGTTCAAAAGTCTGTACCGGGACCTGGGTCAGACCATCCAAGCAGCCAATGACGCTGAGGATCTCAGATGGTGGAGGAACACCCACGGACCGGGCATGAGCATGAACTGGCCACAGTTTGAGGTGTGTGGACGGACACACACACACACACACACACACACACACACACAGACACACACACACTATTCACTCTATTTAAATTCACACTCGGGATTATTTATACGACTTCATTCATTCATGTTTTTCTTCGAACATCTTGATGAGAACAAGAGCACTGTGCAGGACGGCAGTAGTTGTTTAGTGTGTGTGTGAATATTAAACAGGCTTCCTGAAAGCCGTGTTGTGTGTCTGGGAGCCCTGAGTGGGGTCAGGAATGTCTGAACACACACACACACACACACACACACACACACACACACACACACACACACACACACACATACACACACACACACACACACACAGATATAGATGCAGGTTTATTCTGGCAGCTCTGCAGACCCTGAGCCCCTGAGGACAAACAAATATTTACAGATAGAAACAGATTCTGGGAAGTCGAAGTACACATGTTTGTTTCTGTACAGAGTTTAAAGTAAAAGTTCTACATTTTGATATAAATAAATATATATATATATATATATTTATATAGCAATAATATTCTTTGTTTTAGGAAATGAAGAGAATTGAATTGATTTGTGGCGCAACTTTTAAATAAGATACTTTTTAAAATATTCAGGCTTTGGGGGAAGGTATCAAGTATTTTCAAGTTCAAGTGAAGTCATTGGTGTTGAAGTCCAAGTCGGGCTTTAAGTCTTTTTTGGTTGTGTCAAGTGGAAATTCATCAAATTAGTGACTCAGTCCACCTCTACATACAGTTTGCCTGCGTTATACAGGAGTCTCAACAGTCTCATATCACAGTATCTTCAGATGTTCTTGTTACTTGCGTGAGACTTTAGATTTATCCACTCTGGAGAGCATTCAATTCAACTCATTTTTCAAAAATCCCTCTTATTCTGAAGTTAAAAATAGAAGGACAGTGTCACTATCTGTTCTGATGAGTATCAGTTCTTTATGAAACCAAGTTCTTTCATTTCCTCAGAGGTTTTGAGAATCCAGCCCGAGCATGATATAGCAGATTGTGATCAGTTACGCGCAGGTATTTCCACGCCCTCTTTACTCTCAGTGATTCACAATGAAGGAATAATTGTACCGGCCGGTTTTCTGTCTGTGAAAAGATCTGCGGACCCAATTGTCGGCTCATAATGGAGATACAATCGTCTGGATTCCTGCCTCCCGCCCTCCACTTTCATTTTTGGCAGCTATGCACCGACTATGTGTGTGTGTGTGTCTGTCTGTGTGTCTGTCTGTGTGTGTATTGTTCCTCGAATTTCAAATCATACAAAAGAGTTGACATATAATAGATAAAAATGAAGTAACTGGACCAGAGAAAGTCTGTTTGAAGATTTGTTTGTCCTCTGCGTATGATATGAAAATCACACTTAAAGTGTGTTCACATAAAACATGCACGTTCATTCAAACTGAGGAGTGTTTACTACTTTAGTAAAGATTATTTTGGCCATGTTCAAGCGGTAGTGCGTCAGTTCAGAGCTGTGATTTTGTTCCTTTTAAAGTTGACCAACTGCAGTAAAAACACGCCGAAACACAAAGTTTTATGTGCACAAAGAGGCCGATGTCGTTATGTGAAAACCAGCACTTCCTCATGTTTTGGAAAGCTAAGCTGAATGAAATAAAGTCTGGATAGATTTACATATTCAGCTGTTTGTTTTGGTCCGTTAACTGGTAAATACCACAAAAGAGGACTGAATCTCCTTTATATCAATGAGGGTGGGCAAAATATTAGAAACACTCCTCCGTGTAAGACTATTCAACTCAACAGCAGCACAAACTACATCCTCCAAAATGGAACCACACCTCTCTGAACCAGTTTCAACAAAACCTGAACATTACACCCTTCAGTAAAGCAGCAACAAGGAAATCATTTTGTGTTGATTCTGGCGGCCCCTGTGGACAAAAGCGGTAGTGTTTCCACCGACCTGGTGGCAGGCATTAAGAATAACTGTGTAGAAATAACCAATCTTCTCGCTGTTCTCGGTTAAAAACTCCATAAAGTTGGTTTAAATTAGGATTTATTGAAGGACTGGTCTATTAAACTGCATTAGTTTTAGGTAGGTGAACCAAGTAAAGCTGCAACCGAGTATATTTTGTTACTAAAACTTGATGGGTTGGAGGAGGAATTATATATTTTTTAAAAGGTAAAATAAATAAAAATACAACCTATCTCACCATCTACAGGTCAAATATTTGCTGTTTTACGCTTGTTTTTACTTGGATTGGACAACATTATTAACAACAATAACATTATTTCATTCAGACTGCATTCTGACTACATTGGATTACATTACATGCATCTTTATACCTGCTGCAGGAGGCCTTAGATAGACATCATTGACATATCGTTATGTAAAGGGCCATAACGATAATGATGTGAGCGGCCATTCCACACTGATGAATGATAAATGTTGTGTACGTTGCGCAGAGAAACACTAAGAAAACCAGAAGGATACACTCTTTTAAAAGCCTTGTCGTCATTTGAAGACAAACTTTATTCAAAAATAGTAAAGAAGAGGACCATCGCTAAAGATAGAAAATTATGTTTTTATGTGCAATTTGCAGCTTAAGCTGGAAGTGATCCCAACGACATCATTTGTCAGTATCGTTTTAAATTTTTATCCACTTGAACGATTTTTAAAACTACATATATTGAGTTGTTGTTATAGTTATTATCATTCTTGGTGTGAATGACCCTTAAAGCTGTAGCCACGTCTGATTCACCATATTGTAAACACACACGTACATTGACCTGTGTGTAAGCAGCAGCGTAGGCGGATGCTCAGTAGGTCTAATCTTTGCCTTCAGGAATCTATAAGCTGATTGGAAAATCACGTTTCTTCAGGAATTCAAAAACATTTCTTCATACCCAATCCTACTCCTCAGTTCACACACTTTAAGCACCCGTAGTAGTCAGTAAGTTATAATTCACTATAATGCAGTTGTGTTTATTAATGTACAGTATTTGACAACAATAATAACTGATTACATATGACATATTGTATATTATTGCAACTGTGTTTTACTGTATATAGTCAGTCATTATATGTTTATTACACTAGCATCTAACGACTTATAGTTGAAAGATATATTAATAAACACTTATATCTTCTTACAACTATGTTATAGTGTGTGTGTGT